GGGGGAGGTATTTAAAAGATGTGTAGATGTGATGCTTAGGGACATGGTTTACTGGTGGACTTGATGATCTTAAAGGTCTTTTCCAACCTAAACGATTCTATGATTCTAAAGTGCATGTCAGTCTTGATGTGTGTTGTAGCATTCACATTGCTGAGACTTTTATTTTTTTCCTCCCCCAATTAATGACAGTTTCCTTTCTGTTATTTACGCTAATGTTACTTGAAGACTGCTTTTCATATTTGATATGAAACTTCTAGTGGAAATATTGGGTTCCTTCAGGGGCATTTGCTTTATAATGCATATTGTTATTGATTATCAAGCCTGCAGAATTCAGTCTGCTTTCAGACTTCAGTTTTACATTCCTGACACAGGAAATTAATTTGCCAGGTTATTGGGTCTTGGGAGGAGACCTGAACATTTATGAAACCACTTTGACCTATTCTTCCCTGTACATGAGAAGGTTGCTCTATTACCAACCCTCTCTGCAGCTGCAGTGTTACTCGTTTACAAATTAGCTTAATCTGTTGGCATTAATGCTATAGCAGAGGAGTATTGAAGAAAGATAACAAAATGAAGGAGGTTCTACCCAAAAATCACTAGCTTGTTTGAAGTCACTGGAGAAAAATCTATGAGGTTACAGGAGAACCAAAAGGATCTAATATTGGAATTAGTTACAGAAATATGATTCTTTATTGTCAAATTGCTATAGAAACCCCCTCCTTTCTATTCATTTTTTCTTTCGTGTACAGAAATGCACCTGGAAAGCACAATACAGTCTACTTAGTAGGAAGATAAACAAGACATCTACTCCAGGTATCTCTCAGCTTAGCAGTCAGTCATCTCTCCGTGGTCAAACCCCTCATGGCAGCGAAACTTCCACTGTACTTTGCTCTGAGGACATCAAGATTAATGTAGCTTCATCTGATGTTATGAGTGAGTCAGCACAAGCTAAAGAACAACATCATCTTTTCCCCCGTAAGTTACTTTTCTTGACTGCCAATATCAAATGGATTTGCTTTCAGTGTTACTAGGGTGAATCTATGTCAAAGACACTGCTAGATGTACCAGTGTATTTCTCTTCAGGCATATGTAACTTTGTACAAGTCCCTCTGTGCCCTCCCTGTTAGCAAATTGGTTTAAAGACAATATAATCCCATGTGAATATTAAGTAAGAGTTTTAATTAGTATTCAGCTACAGCAGTTGTGTAATCAGTCATCCACACCTATAAGGTCCAACAGGTGGTGAAAACAGTGAAACCGTTCTCTGCCATAACCAACTGATCCACTGAATATGTATCTGTCTAACTTAGGGGGTTCTGTTTAACTCAGGGGTTTCTTACTCCGTATTCCTCCTACTCATCCATCAGTGATTACCTGCGCTTGATAGACCTGACAGAATAGTTTATCTGTTAGCTCTGCAATGCACTTCAGTACAAAGCTAGGTTGTCTTAAGTCTTTTCGCTTCCTTCTAAGTAAAGCTGGACCAGAAAAGCACGTTAGCATTTAGTACTGCTAATTGCCTTTTAATTGATATTTATATTATCATTATTAGGCTGACATCATGCTCTGCTAGACTCTAAATTACCACTCAGGAAGGAGCTCTTGGAGTCGTTTGGGATAGTTCTGTGAATGTTCAGTAGCTATCAAAAAGGCAAGAAGAACCCCAAGAATGAAGTGGAAGACAAAGCAGAAAACACGTTATGCAAAAATACAAATGTTTTGTACGTGCTTCTGCAGTTCCGATCCTTCCAATTCAGACAGGCTGGTATCAGAAGTAGTAAAGTTTGATGGAAAAAAGTGGTGAGGTATGTTAGAGATCCAGAATAGCTTCCAGATGAGAACCAATGAAATAGACTAGGGCTCTTCAGTGCAGAAAAGAAACGGCTGAATACAAAGTTACAACAGATCTCTGTAACATCATGAAGTGCATGGAAAAAAGTGATTAGAGAGTGCTTATTCACAAGTTCCCTTGACACCAGATTTATGGCACACTAAATTAAATTTTCTGGCAGAAAATTTAAAGCAACGGGAAGTGTTTTCATGCAATGCATGATTAGGAATTCATTGCTACAATATATTGCTGGAAGTATATTCAAGTCCAAAAGCAATTTAAATGAATAGAATTAAAAACAATTAATTGTTCTTAAATGTAAAGGAATGGGCACATTCTTTGGGTCTGAAAGACTTTTAGGTTCAGACTGCCGGAAGCTGGGTGGATATATCGGGAAGCTTGTGCTAATATCATATACTACCTATGCAGCTGCTGCTGTCCATGGCACTGAGCACAGATGAATGGCCTTCCTATGACATGAATGGGAGTAGCGGAGAATTCAAAGCTGTAATTTCAAGCAATTTGTTTACAGATGTAGGTGAACAATTGGTTTGTGTGTGAGATGAGATTTGAAAATAATCTTGAGAGCTGTAACAGCTGGGAGCCTCCATTTGCTGTGGGACATAAAGAAATATCCTGTGGCATGTGTGATGTATGGGAAGGATAACCTTTGGAACAAAATCTATCACATGATTGCCTGTGATTTCAGGGACTGGCCTGAGTCACCAGTCTGGTCCTCTCAAGGATTATGTTCCCAGCTCTAAAAAATATGGGAAGTTAGTTTCTGCAGGGCAGCTCTGTAGCAAAGGTTGGACTCTGTAATGAATTTGGAAGCTGCTAGAATCATGTTTAATCCAGGATTCTGATTATAGGATGCTTTGTGGACAAATCAGAAATGGATTCCAAGTACAGCTGCCCTGTAGCCTTGTACCCCAAATTCACAAAGCCTCATGTAACTCATCCAGACATAATTTTGAGAGCACACACAACCCTAACCCATATGTATACATACATGTATTTCAAAAGTGGGAAAGAGATTTTTTAGTAGGCAGCTAATCAGTAGATACAGCTGAGTGTGGCTCTTGCAGAAAGATTTCTTTTAAGGAAAGAATTCATAACTCAATATAAAGCCTTTTGTACAACTGTCATTTAGATGCTGTTGTTCGGGGACTGCTGCTGTAGAACGTCTGCTTGTACAAGTTTGATTTTTCAGTGCTGTTGGCTGAGTGAGGACCTGTACTAGTCCAAAAGTTTAAATGTTACATCATGTTGACAAAGGTGAATGTGGAAGCTGCAGTCCTTGCAGCTGTGGTATAACAACAGGTCACTGCTGAGGTAGTCTCATTTATCATTCAGTCCCCATCTAACCAGGCAAAGGTTTTACAAAGCAGATTAGTGTTCTAAGCTTGCTTCCTTCACCACATTTTAAAAAATCTCTTTCCATGCAGACAGAGACTATATGATCTAAATGTACTAAAGGAAAGCCTAATTTTTCATGGTTACTGTGTAATGAAGAATGTGTGTATGCAATCAGTTCAAATGGCATACATTTTCTTCACACTGAGAAGTAAAATGAGAGACCTGTATCTGAGAGATTAAACACTAACTGGATTCTATCCCCAGAGCTTTCCGGCCAGCAGTTTAGCTTTGAATTCTCAGTCAAAAACATACTTTTAAAAGAGGAGGTATAAATATTTGTGCAAAGGATCTTCATTACAAAACTTATACCTGAATTTGGGGCTTTTCTTTGGGATTGATCAGTGTCTTTACAATTGATTTATCATTGTTAGATCCCTGCAAAACAGGTAAATATTAGTACCCCACTTCACAGATGATTAACTAAGGCATAGAAATCCAGGTCAGGTGAAATTACTACATTCTTCTTTGCTGTTTTTCTCTTTTCTAATTAATGTCTGACTAGCTCACAGCTATAGAGGTTAATATTTCAAAAATATGGACAAGCTTGAGTATTTGTTTTCCCAGTTTCTCCAGATGGAGAATTGGAACAGGTTCTAATGCTACAAAATGGAGGGCAGAGAGGTATTGTGCCCTCTGTTTCTGTTGATCAGCCAAAAAAAGGAGCTGTATCTTTGTGGTATTAGCCCTGGTTTGCTTCCTGTCATCTCCCTCCAAAATCTGCCAACAGGACTGCTTTCAGGACTGGCTTTAGACAACTCAGCTGATGTTGGAGAAAACATCAAATGTAGCCACTGCTTAGTGTAGCTCTCTTCCCCCAAAGCACCATTATCTGCAGAGTAGATGTGTTTCAGATACCCAGCTACTCAATCTGCCCAAATGGTAACCATAAATAGAAAGGACTGGGTTCTTCTAAGAAGGGTTCTGACGTTGCATGCCAAGAACAGATGAGATTTGTACGCAGCCTTAGTTCAGTTTGAGCAGAGGCTCCCTGCCCAAATCGATGCCAGGTTCCAGACCCTGTGGAGGTCAGCCTTTGTATTCAGACCGCTCCTCAGCTCTAGAAGGTCCAGTGGCATAGCCAGCACCTTACAGGCTCACACTTTGAGACTAGTAAGGGTCACAGTGGAGCCATCATTTCTGACTGGGACCTTGACACTCTTGAAACTCACCTGGCCACAGCTAATAGAGGATCTTCATTATAAGCATGGTTCTTAAAATTTTAGCCCATTAGCTGGTGCCCAGCAACTTGTTCCATGCATGTCTTACATGTATGAATTCACAGTATAATATTCTGTACTTCTAACAAGTAGAAATAGTTTGTGCTGCTATTTCACACAGTCAACATTCAGCAGTCATTTTCTATGATACTATATGTGGTGCTTCACAAAAATGTAGGAAAAGGACCTGTTGAATTTGGGGATTACAACTTCAAGGTGTTGAGTGCTCAGTAAACGTCACTTATTACCATCTAGGACATATTGAGCACCTCAGAGGATGACTTAGAATTTGACAGCTAACACTGGGATTTTTAATAACAAGTGTGACAGTTGTTTTACTGCATGAGTGATTGGAGGGAATAACGCAGAGAAGATGGCCATCTCAGTGTCTCTCCAGGGGTTTGGCATCAAAGCAGGAATAAAGCAGCAGTGGGAAGGAAAACTAAGATGTCAATTTGAAGGAAAACAATGAGTTACATTGGTTTTCCAGGTGTTCAAGGGAGAGGAGAATATAAGCATTCACATTACAGTGGAAGGCAGAAAGAAAGTAAAGAGTGTTATTAGTGAGAGAGATCTGCTCAAAGGTGGATAATCTGGAAACTATAGCCAATGATGGGCTACTTGAGGACATGTCTTAAGTTTTAGTGGATGCTGATAAGAAGACACAGAGAGGTAATTAGATAAACGTATTAAATTCCATATGACATTTAAAAGAAGAATGGCAAAGTGATACAGTACACTTAGAAATTCAGAAGACTTGACAGTTATGCCAGTAGAATGCTAACAGCACAGTACAGGAACTGAAAATAGACTTTCTGCATAGTTTGTTCAAATCTACCTGTTTTTCTAATACGCTATTTTTATAAGCATCTAATGTAAAAAATATTTAGTATCTTCTACTTGATGTTTTTTTTTTTTTCTCACAGCTGAAAGAACAAAGCTTATGTTTTCAAAAGTGATTAACAAATTGGGTACATTCATATTTGGGTACCTATCTTGAAACCTCTTTAAAAAGCTGCTTTTTTTGAAGAAATTTTAATTTTTAGAAATACTAAATAGCAGGTTTCTTTAGGATGTCTCATTCAGGCCAGCATATATGGCCTCCTCTCTGCAAGGAAGAGAGGAATGCACTATCAAGTTGGCATGTTTTAACAGAATCTTTTATTTTTTATCAGCCCTACAGAAAGTCATCCAGCTAACACATGAAGAGGTGTCAAAAGATGTCCATAAACAAGAAGATATGGTTAAGAAGATTGGACTGCAGCGGTACCTTACCTGATGGGTTTCTGAATGACTAGGAGAAGCAACTCATCAGGACAGAGCTTATGCTTTTTTTTTCTTTTTTTTTTTTTCTCCCAAACAATTGAATTCAGCATTCAGTGAATTCAGATGACATTTACATTTTTTGGCATGGGTGGCAGAATAGCCCATTTTACTGCTGTGCAAGCAGTATGTATTTTCTGGAAAATACCCCATGAATCTTGTCTTTGCAAACAGGAGAGACCTTATGCTCCAGCAGCTTTGTAGAAAAAGCGACGTTCTATCTTATTCCTGTAGAATTGTTTCTGTTTCTACCATTGCATTTTTCAGTAGTCTCTCTATAACATTTCCAGCTAAGCTTATATTAGATGTGTTCCCTCATTACTCAGTTCTGTGGTGGTTTCCACAGCTATAAGATCAACATGACAAACCATTCTTACAATCAAACTTTGCTGAAGCATTTTTTCCCCTGAGTTGAGATCAAGAGAAATAAATTTTGTACCTGGATAGCTCCAGCCAGTCTGTAATATTAAGAATGTTTTATCAGCACCTGTAGAATTTTTCACATTCTGAGGAAGGCATACTGCACGCTATTTTAAACCTTGTTGTGTGTGTGTCTTACAGTTTGTTGCCAGTGGCTCAGAAGAATTACAGAGTAATAAACATGCCATTCATTAAGGATCAAGAGAGCATAATATCAAGGAAGCAGAAGCCAAGGCAGGGGTAAGGGTACAAATCTGTTTTTGAAGCACATTATATGCTGTATAAACTCATCTCTATGTGTGGAAAGCATCTGGCATACAGAAGTCAGAGAGCATTTTATTACATGAGACCAGAGCAGGCCAGTGAAACCTTGCAGCACACTTAGTACATTTCAATGCAATGCGAGGGCACTTTCCTGGAAGGATGTGACTGGCATGAAAGATGGTACAAATCCAAATTTAATATCACTTACAATTTTTTTTATTCATAAAATTCTTTCATAAATTTGATTAATTAAAAAAACCTAAATTATACTAAATTTGGATTTTTACTGAGAATAAGGAGATCTCAAAATTTACGTGGCTCACATCGCTGCATGTTCTGAGCAACACAGGTGCTTACCACAAAATGGTTACCACAAGATGTTAATTGGAGTTTTCTGTGTTGTTTAGTTGCAGCTGCCATATCAGCTCTTTCATTAAAAGCAAATCTAACTTATGTGCCGATATGAGGCAAAAGTTCACAGCAGTACGTGAAGAAGCAGCTTGTTGTTTACGTGATACTCTAGAGCGCCTTGAGAGGTAGGAGGTGACTGTTTTCTGCATACTCTTAAAACACTACACACCTTGCTTCTGACCAGATTTAGGACTTGTCTTCAGGCCTTTTAAAGATGCATTTATATGGATTGACATTAAAATAAGAATGCAGGGATGATGATAGAAAGTTTTATGACTGACTATGTACAAAAAATATATTACAGGTTCAATATTTACAGCAGTGTTTTGGGATATTTCTAAATGACTTTTCTGGAAATAGTTTTGCTAAAAACATTGGATGTATTTACTTGGGACATCGTAGTCCTTTTCACCCAAAGACAGAATAATGAATTCATTCACAAACAATCTATATGGCTGTCTTGTGTTTTCAGTTCAGAAGTCACTGTATTGTTCTTCAACGTTACTTTGACTCTTCTTACAGTAACAGTTGCAATGTCCTCTCTCAACACCTTTTCCCAGATCAGTGACATTTCTACCTTGTCGACCAGCTGAAGCCTGTCATCCTTTTCCTTTCACTCAGAAACATTCATCTGTGATGTTTGTGCAAATTCTTTTGTCTCAGTAAGCATCAGACCTTCTCTACATTGCTGTTCTGAAGGGTGTTACAGGCACAGTTTTCTTTTGCCCTCTCACTTCCTTCTTTCGATTCTTTTGTTCCATTTTGTACTTAGATTTTTTTTGTCCCCAGAGCCTTCCTTATCTGGAGCTTGGTCCTTGTTTTCTTCCCTGAGCAGCTGCTGTGACTGCATAAGGAACGAATCATTCCAGCATCCTGCAGTATGGAAAGACAAGTCAGATGGAAACTTACTACTTGCAGCTATTTTACCATTCTCCATACAGCCACACAAGTGTATTCTGTTTGATCAGCATTTTGAAACCTCAGTTTGGCAGGATATAGTATAAGTAATTTATTGGAAAGAAAAGCAGATGTTTGTTTTTGTTATAACACAGTAGTACTTTTTGTAGGAATGCATATTTGAGCCCAATCTCTGGGTCAAAATTCTAGCTCAGGTCACTCTATTCCACCTCTCTTCTGTTGTATGTTAAATAGTATTTTACCCTAAATCGCTGTGCGGTATTCTGTTTGTTTTTAAGCAGTGGATACATGATAGAAATTGGAGGTTGAATTTCAGTTTAAATGTTTTGATTCTGAAGTTTTATTTCTTACCCACAGCCTAGAGTTGATATAAAACGTAAACATGTTTGAATATGTTTGTAGAAATATGAATGTATACAGAACACTGCAACAGCAAAAATTATTATTGTCTACAGACTGAACATACAATGTGTTCTTCATATTCATTGTCTTCCGCCTTCCTTAGTATCTTCCCAGTTAACTATGCAGAAGTGTGGTAATGTTTAAAACACAGCTTTAAGGGTTTTTTTGTAGGAGGCAGGAAGAGCGATGTTGTCAAAAATACCAGGCTTTGAAACAATTGAAGTATTTTAGAAGAGACATGGAAAGAATAAGACAGCTGGGCATGAGAGCCGAAAGAGAACGTGATGAAGATGGACTAAACTGGTAAGGAGGCACAGAAACCCTTAGTTCAAATGAGATGGTCAGGGTCCCAGAGTTTTGTCTTTAATACAAAAAGCTTTTTTTTTTTTTCTTTTTTTCTCCCCAAAGCAAAGTATCACTAGAAACCATTGAATCAGTTGCTGGAAATGCAGGCTCTTCAAACTGGTAGGAACAAAAATAGAGATATGATCTCTAGGAGCAGATCTCAGCCTGCTCAGCAAATAGGTTAATTGGAAACGGTAAGAAAGGGGATAAGTAAGAGTTCCTTTCCAGTGATATTGGGCAAAAAGCACTCAGTCCTTGCATTCGCACACCCTCCCCAGCATGCAGCTTTATAGGAGACTTCTTCTGCCAGGAAGTGTGTAAAACACACTGTACGCCGAAGATGAGAGAGATTGTATAAATGTACATGGGTTAGATTCACAACTTCTTACTGAACTGAACATTCACAGTACTAAAACTGATGGCAAAGGAGACTTTGACTCTAGCTGTCCATCCATGTTAAAAGGAAAAATATTTCCCTGCCAATGTTTATGAACTGCACATGTATAATACTGCAACACTTACAAGGGCAAGCAGAGTAATCACCTAAACGCTTCCCAGTTCAGCAATTCTGCAGATTGCTAGTGTTTTATGTTTGAAAGGATATTAGCTGTATCCAGTGATCAGCTTCCAGATACACACCAGAAATAGCCTACCAGAGTACCTCAGCAAGCTCAGAGCGTGTTCCCTACTGCCCTGTCCAGGAGAACTCCTTGACATGAGATTACAGAGTATGCAAACTACATGGAACATTTTTTTATCAGCCTGCCCTCTTTTGCTCTCCTTGCTAGTAAGCTTTCTGTCCTTCATTATTTGAGATAACAAAATCCATTTTCAAAAGTCCATTTCAAAATGCAGGTGGCCCAGGAACATATCAGTCATGCGTTAATGAATAAACCTAGTCTGGGCCTATCTAGCAGAACGCTGGTTTTAATTGTCAAACATATATACTCCAGCTGTCCCCCAAATTTAAGATCTGGCATGTAAATAAGCCCTGAAACTGGAGTGGATGTGGTTTTGTTTTTATAGTTATAGTTCCGCTAGAAGAAGCCTTAATTTGGACCAAGCTCCATGACTATAAAGGAGACTATACCAATATGGCTTCTTACTTTCCCCCTGTGCAAGAACGGTACTACAAGTCTGCTGTTCCTTCATATGAAAATTGTGCTTCCATAGTCAGGAGGCTGTCTTGCTATGACTATGCCAGCACGGTTAGACGAGCATAGCTTCTATGCCAGGCCTGTTCTGCAAAGTACTATCTATCCATGAGGGGTACGAAGAGTGAAATCTCTGATAAGGCTGGTCAACCCCCTTGTGGAGACACAAAGTCATGACAGAGAAATTGCTTTCACCATACCACTTGTTTCATTTACAATAGGGCTGTTTTTTCCCATACTCTTGCAAACGCTACCTTGCCAAGAAAGCTGAATCACAGTAGGAACACTTTACTAGTATATGCTGTCTGTCTCGTTGTCTTCTCCCTCTCATGAAGTGAGAAAAAAAACAAAAATATAAAATACAAAGTGTGATATAAGAGTATACTGAACATAGCTTCCTTTCTCAAATAAAATGTCTTAATGTGTGGATGGGTTGTAAAAGGCCTGTGTGTGACACAATTGCGGTAACCTGGGTAATCTAGCCAGGAGTTAGCTATACAGCCATACCCATGCTAGCAGTGTACTACTGAGCGTAGAACTGGCCCTACTGAAGATGAGGACCCACGTGTTTCCTTTTTTACTGGTTTAAGGAGGAAATTCCTCACCCCTCTCCTGCTGTCCCAGTAACATGTATCTTAAAGTGGAGGGAGGCAGTACCTCCTGCCAACGTGCTGCCAAATCCTCAGCCCTTTGCAATGACAGCCACAGCACACCCCAGTCATGCACAGTCTAGAAAGGTTTGGAACATCAGCCTCCAGGACTGTCAAGGCAGCACTGCAGAATTTACACAGAACGCTAAAAAAAAAGGCAGTCTTTTCACAAGAGTTTTATTTTTATTGCAATGTGTAATTTTCCTTCTGAATCTCTATATTCAGAGTGAAATGGTAAAGACTGCGTGTTACAGTGCACTTACATCAGTGAGATTTATGTCAGCACATAAAGAGACAAGAATGATGATAGCACAGGGAAAAGGGATAGTAAAGAGAATCAGAAAGTGTGTCAGATCAGGCACTGATTGCGCTGGAAAATCTGTAGATGCTAAACAAAATAAATAGAGAAAAGATGAAGAGGACAAATCTGTAGTAAAATGGAAACATTTGTTAGGATTTTATTATTTGCTTTCAAACCCAAGTTTGTCATCCAAAATTTAAATGAAGAAGCATCTATTTCAATGCCCTATAAAGGGAATCAGTGCACAAGTCCAATAAAGCAAAGCTCTTTCACATTATTCTCTTGGAATTACACTGAGTATTGCATTCCCCAAAGAGCCATTTTTTCTGTGGAAGCTATGGAGGTGGTGAAGTGGCAGAAATGCCAGGCAAACCCAGAGTTATTAATCAGATATGCATTTGTTCCCAGGGCTTCTCTTTTATTGCTGTTCTTCTTTCTGCTAAAGGTTTCCTGTATTGCTTGCCAGACTCCCAGAGTCTGTGAAGAGTGACCATTATGTACAGAAAATCTTAAAGAAACTGGAAAAATATGGCAAGGCTCCTGACTTGAAAATTCATCCAGACACCTTTCTTAAGGCTCTGGCTGATCTACAGGTGTGGGAGCTGTGTTCTCCAGAAATTGCTGCAGCTGTGGAGGTGAGATGAGTCCAGTTCTTGATTCTCTGTGTGATGAGGGTGGGAAGTGCAGGCACCTATGGGTGAAATTCATGCAGTGGAAAGTTACCAGATGAAATAATTTAGGATCTCACTAAATGAAGATGCTACTATTCACCTTTTACAAGGCACTGTGAACTCCTCAGAAGAAAGACATTATGACAAGCATTGGATTATTAATCCGTATCATTTTATTATATATTATGTCATTGTTGATTTATTTACCGCCACAGTGAAAGTGACATCTGTCATAAATTGTTAGGACACTTGAAGAGAAACATTAACTACTTGTGCCCTGAAAAGGCCTGTCATTCCCAGTAGTTACATCCATGAGCTATTCAAGTTAATGCATTACATCGCTGATCCAGGAACTCTGTAGATATCTTTGTTTTGCTTCAGCAATGTTAAAAAAAAACCCACTTCTCAAGATCTTAAGTTGGACTCAACTCTTGTAGTTCTAGAAGCACTTGGCAGAAGAGGAAGGACGCAAGAAAGGGAAGACAGTACATTTAGAATGTATACTATTATGTAGTCTAATCAGGTATCTAACTTACAAAACATGGCAATGATGCCACCTTGTGTTTTTTGTTCTCATCACAGTTATTTCCCCTAACCTACAAGACAACAGAAATCTCTGAGAGGCAGCAGGTTACTGTGCATCTTACATATATCGAGTGTTATTGTGCCTTACAAAGGCAAAGGTTTAGCACCCAACATGTGGAGATCAGACTACCTGTGTTTTCTTGATGTCTTATAAAAATGGCCATTTTAGCTTTTGCCCTAATTTGCATAGTCACTAACCGGAGAGGCAGCCTTGCCTTAATGTTCAACATATAAGTCTCTGTTGCTTGCTGGTTTTAGATCTATTTCTTTGCCGTTTCCATTCTGTTCCCTTTGCATTTTGATCCCTCACATTAGTGCAATAGTAATAGAGAAAAACATGTGACCATGGCTGAATCTCCTATCTACTTATTTATACGTCTTTCAAAAATAGCCACAGAGGAAGGAGGACCTTGGTGCTCCTTCTGACTGGAATAGATAAAGGAAACTCGCATTTTAGGAGCAAGAAGAGCATCACTGAATATGAGCTGGCTGATACTGACAGAGATTCCAGATGAAGTTCTTATTTAACTTCAAGTTGCTTTAATGTATGTACTACAATGGTAGGTAAAAGACAGCTGCAAGTTTAAATCACAAAGACTTGACTTGGAAGGAATCAGGACATAAATTGCAATGAAGATTGTAGGGTTTTCCTTTTAATTCATTTTAGAGCATATCCAGCTGTTCTGAAAGTTGCATTAAAAATGTTTTGGTGATATAAAGCACTATACTAACTGTTTGCAGAAGCCATTACATTTGTTCTGTTGTCACAATGGTCAAATCTCTCTCTTGCACATAAATCAAAAGCTCAGGAAAGAACCTTTTTCTGTTTCAGTTTGTACGTGAAAGTATTGTGCAGATGCCAGAAGAGGATTTCAGCGAGTGGTTTCAGACAAGAGTAGCCCCCCTCAGTGCACAGTCCTCCACCTTTTAATCAAATGGCCAGATGAGATGGTTTTCCAGCTACAACTGTCTTCAAGCAGAAAACTACTGCCTATTGAGATCTGCCTCAAGCAAGACTGGGGAAGGGGAATTAACTTCAGGAAGTCCCACTGGCCGCTCTTGCACAACTGAAATTTGTCCCTCTACAGTGCTCTGTTGACTGTAGTCAGACATAGAAAATAAAAGCTAAATATTTTTGTTCCTTCCTGTACGATGTCTTGGACTCACTGTCAAATTTCAATCTCATCTAACCATGTAGGATGAAGACTGAGTTTTCTAATCACAGGTCAGGTCATCTCTTCAGACATTCCTCTAACAATACCTACAGTATAACAAGCATCTACTTGGTACGGATATACTGATTTTCATATCTAAATAGCATTGTCTCTGTTTGCTCTTCATTTTAGCTCTCCTTTTTAAAAAATATCCCAAGCACAGGCTAGTTGTAAGCTTTAATCAATTCTTTTTTTGCATTAATTCCTTTTCGTAATTCGGATGTTTTATTTTTGCATTGAGTTTATTCTGTAGTTATTCTGTGATCATGGATTAATTCTTGCCTTATTAAAATCAGTATTGAAAAACCAAGCATCCTTAGATGCATTTCCCAGGTTTTCACCTGACATGTTTTCCCCCGATGACCTTAGCATATATTTGCTATTACTCTGCTGGGTAAGACAGTAGAATGACACCCTTGAACTCACAGTGATAAATATACAACCTTTGTGAACCTGTCTGGGCTTAACCATGTATTTCATGGTGGGTCACAATTGCTGGGTGATGGAATCAGTGACCAAGGGACCTTCTAAGCTGATGATCTTAATGAGCTGCTTACCTGCCTGTCAAAGCTTCCAGAGGACCCACTGGGGAGAAATGCTGTTGATCCTTCAGCCGCAATAAGGGGAAACAATGCCAGCTTAGGGTCCAGGTGAGTATAGTGACCACTGATGTGTAATATGTTATTAATTAATGGCCTTATTTTGTCCTCTTCCTCATTATCAAGAGAGAAATGCTTTTCAAGGAAAAGAACAAAGAACACAGATTTCTTTGACTTACAGGCATCAGAAAAAAGTAAGCTCTTAAAGTTCTGTTGTGCTCCCACTTTTCTCATTCTATATGTGGTGGTAATAAACTAGCATTTGTACAGGTAGTGAAGCCCTATTTTCCCCTGCCCATGCTTTTCTTTCCCTGCATCTCAAAATCCATTGGCAAACTTTCCTCCAAAACTCTGTAGGACTGATCTAGTGCCCAGTGAAATCGGTGGCAGTGCTTCTGTCAGATGACGAGGATGAGGTCTCATTCTGACCTATGAGACCTCAACTCCCCTGTTCACTTCCATTTTTTTTAACTTCCTTGCAGCCTTCCATATGTTTTGAGAAACCCTAGTTCTGCTGTTCTTTTGGGATCATTTCACCACAGTCTGAGTCAAGTTTCATTGTCAGTGCTTTTGTGTAACCCTGTAGTAACAGCTGATATTACATGCAAACAAAAAGAAATCTTAATTTAGCAGCTTGGGCGCTCCTGGTTGAACTGTGGTTGCACGAGGTGAAACCTTCATGTTGGTCCTTCCTCACTATATGGAACTGCAGATACAAGATTGTGAGTTTTCTTACATAAAAGAAATGGAAACAAAGGGGCTTGTCCTCAGCTGGAGTACATGAGCCATACTGCCGAAATCAAAACTTTATACCAGCCAAGCATGTGACCTAATGTGTCTGCCTGCATGTGAGATGAGATGATTGTGCCAAATGTAATTAGCTAATGTCTGAGCAGCTCTTTGAGATCCCAAAGCAGGATGCCAATGGTGAATGTTAGGAGTCTGTAATGTTTTTGTGGGATTATGAAATATCTTATGTATGTATTCGTTTGACAATGGCTCTTCTCTCTCCTATTGCCACTAGGTAACAAAAGAGACTCCTCCTCTAAGAAGAAAACAGATTTGTCTTTCCTCCTCCTCCAGCACCAGCCTAATGGAAAATTTTCTGCTTCTTTTACTCTGAGGTGGAGAAGAGCTCCTCTGGAGCAAAATAGCAGCTTCCCTTTTCCTGCTTCCTGATAAACTTACAGTTTCCTCAGACAAGATCCTCAACCCTACTCAAGTCTTTGCCAATTTAAAGGACTGAAACAATACAAAGAGGTTAGAGGTTCACACCCAGATAAAAGAAGACTTGGGCTCTTTAAACTTTCGGGTTTTTTTCCTGCAGATATCTTGGATTCTCCCAAATACTTCCGTGAACATCTCACAGTCTTCGATTCACTGCTTCAGTAGACCCTTGCAAGGTAGGTTCAAAGTAACCCATTTAACACGTTGGAGATGGATGGACCAAGAGTCCAAGCAATTTGCTAAAGGTCAACAGAGCGTGTGGTAGAGCTGCTGGATTAGTGTTCTGTCCGCTCATCCTTCCTCCCATTCTGTTCTGGTCCTTTACAATTTCAGCTAATGGGCCAGTCATTCACAAAATCCATTAGCCAAAACAAACTGTGCAAGCTTGGGTTGGTCACTTACTTCATGCACTGGATGGATGTTTGCGGTATTCAGATGTGGAACTCACAGGTGGAGAATCTTGATCCTGTTTCCTGCTGCCTGATGTGTTCCCAGTGTCATCGAAACCCCACCCTCCTCAGATTACACCTCTGTGAAACTGAAGTAAGAACATTTTCCTGGGTCTCACTAGTAGCAGGGCAGAAAGTTATTGCTGCGTGAGAATTGCTTGGACATTAGGCTGATAAATGTTACAGGAAAACTCATCAATTAAAATAATAAGTAATGCCTCTTTCACCATTCACCCTTCCCATCCACTTCACAATGGTTCTGAAATTGTCATCTCTACTCTCTTTTCATAGGAAAGATTTCATCATGGTAGAAAAGAAGCCAACGATCCTATTATATCAACAGCGATACTCCCACTGTGTTTTATATTGGAGATAAAAAGCAGCATCTTATAAATAGGGATTATAAAATAAACATCTCTGTCTTTCTTGGAGATAGGCTGTTTTATTGTAAATAAATTGTAGGGGGTATTCAGAAATCAGGGTATGTCTTTCTAATTGGAATTTCAGCTTTATGTATCACTGCTCTATTCTGCTGTCTTGTAAATTAATGGCACCATGCCAGCATGTTAAAGAGACGCAACTATATTTGGCCTCACACATTAATAACAGTGATTCTTTTTGCTAACTTTTAATAAATATCACTGTTTTAGCATTGCAGGAGATGAAAGCTCAGGCTAACAAACCCCAGAATATTTGGGACCAGTGCCAGCTCCTATTAAGGTCAATGGAAAGGTTCTTATTGACCCTGTGGAGTATCGATTACTGTAAAATCAGAATAGGTTGTTATGACAAGTGCAAAGGCTGATCTTGTAACCAGCAGCTCGATCTTTTATTCAAGGCACTAAGTGTTTGTAGCCATACTTTTTGCTATGCAGCAAGCCTACACAAAGCAAAATAAAAATATGCTTCCCAGCAGGAAAGCTGACTAACCACCAAAAGGAAGTGATCAAAGAGAAAAAAAGATGTGACAGAAGGAATGCAGCTGGGAAGGATTCTCGGATACCCCAACCTTAATTTCCTATCTCTGATGATATTTCTTCTTGTGTGCCTAAAAGCAGCTTCCAAAGAAGGACGAGTGCTGGACTTGTACCAAGGGCATGAAGTCATTGATCTGGACAAATCCTTTAGCTGTTCAGTGGCGGAGAGGTTTCTGTACAGACACATTCTTCTTGCTGAAGTCCCCATCCTACTCCTCTATCTACAGACTTCCAAAGACTTGATTTCCTCTTTCTGGATGCTAAAAGGTTCAAAGGCCCCTTCAAGAGGCATTTTACTGGGAAGCGTGTCTGAGTAATGATTTAGTACTATCAAGGGCTGGTTTATGGAAAATAATATCAGAGCTGTTTTGAATCATCAGAGTAGAAATAATGACACCAAATGTATATGTGGATAGGACTGTTCTTCATCCACTGCCTGGAGTGCAATGAGCGGAAGTAAAGCTTAATCTTTCCCGCTTTGGCTGGAACTGAATCTCACCTTTGAAAGTAATAGCAAGCTCTGTATCAGGGGTTACCTTAACCAGGCTCATCGTCTAGAGAAGCTGGATGTCGTGGTTTAACCTCAGTCGGCAACTAAGCACCGTGCAGCCACTCGCTCACTCCCCACCCCCCCCGGTGGGATGGGGGAGAGAATTGGAAAAGCACAAGTGAGAAAAACTCGTGGGTTGAGATAAAAACAGTTTAATAATTGAAATAAAATGATGATAATAATAATATGATAATAATAATAATACACAAAGCAAGTGATGCACAGTGCAATTGCTCACCACCCGCCGACCGATGCCCAGCCAGTCCCCAGGCAGCGGCCCCCCCCGGCCAGCTTCCCCCAGTTTATGTGCTGAGCATGATGGCACATGGTATGGAATGTTTCTTTGGCCAGTTTGGCTGTGCCCCCTCCCAGCTTCTTGTGCACCTGCAGCCTTCTCAGTCAGTAGAGCATGGAAAACTAAAAAGTCCTTGGCTAGCGTAAGCATTACCTAGCAACAACTAAAACATCGGTGCCTTATCAATTTTGTTCCCATCCTAAATCCAAAACACAGCACTGTACCAGCCACTAAGAAGGAAATTAACTCTATCCCTGCCGAAACCAGGACACTGGAATAACAGGTTTTGGGCACACATCTTCCCCTCTCTATTTTTTGTTATAACCCACACAAGGGTTGGCATGGCTTGTTCCATCCCACCCCTCAGTTCTTCTGGGTAGGAAACATAATTGCCTCCTATTTTTAAATTTGCAGCCCTGTATTTGGGTGTTTGTTTTTCTTTAGCAAAACCTTGGCTTCCTTGATTTAACTGACTACTGGCTGAAAGAAATCAATGTGTAACCTTCTCCTGAAAAGATCATAAACAGCTGATCGCGAGAAGCTGGGAGGACATACCGGGGGTCTGAAACACCCTGAAATTGCCCTGTTTCTTGTACTCTTCTTAATCATCCATCATTGGCCAATGTCAAAGATGGGATGTAGATGCATTTTGGTCTACCTGATGCTTGTGTTTTATGACAAAATTGGAGAGGGAGGGAAAAGTTGGTACTGTTGGGTAACAGTCCAAATACCAGTGTGACTATAGCATGTTTGAAGTTGTATTTGTCTATTCATCAGGGTAACAGGAAGCAGAAAGGA